CTTTTGAATTAATTTGTTGATACTTTTGAATTAATTTGTTGAGGCTTTTGAATTAATTTATCGAAATTTTAAAACTGATTTCTCGAGACTGTTATATTAATTGCTGCTCTTAGGCCCTCGACTCCACGCCGATGTTTATCGACTTGAAAACATTCGAGAAGATCAAAGCCCAGTGGGCAGACAACCCCGAAGAGCTCAAGAGACTCCAGAGAGGTGTCTTGCTGCTGCTGTTGCTGTTGCTGCTGCTATTGCTGTTGCTGTTGCTGTTGCTGCTGGCACCGAGGCCATTGTTGCTGCTGGCGCCGAGGCCGCTACTGCTGTTGCTGATGGGGTTGATAACGGGGGAAACTGCTGCTGCCGCCTCTGCTGCTTCGTTTTGGGCTCGTGCTGCTGCTGTTGCTGCTGCTGCTGCTCATGGAAGAGGAGGGGCACGACTTTTGTGAAGCCTTAGCAGCAATACGAGCAGGCGCAGCAGAGCGGCGGCTGCAGCTGGGCGGCGCGCGGGCAGCAGCTGCAGCGGCAGCAGCAGCAGCAGATCTCGCGTGGCTGCTGCCTCTGCGGTGTCTGTACACCTCAGAAGACAAGGCAGAATACGGCGTTTCTGAAGCTGTTCCTGACGAGGACTGGATCCCCATAAAGCGGGACCTCCCCGCGGGCCGCCTTGTCGTTTCTCACGGGCTCATACGTAGCGCTAAACCCTAAACGCTAAACCCTAAACCCTAACGCGTAAACCCTAGACCACCGGCTCTGATGGCGGAGGGGACGGAACCTCCATATACATGCTCTATGTACATTTACTCCACATATATTAAAATAGTATATATATAGTATACAATATATAATATATGTAATACATAATATATATGTTATATATATATTAACATATATACTTGTTTGCTGCTGCTGCTGCTGCTGCTGCTTGTGTGTGCAGCTGTGAACGCGACTGCAGCGGAAGCGGGCTTTGACTTTGTGGAGTCTTACTATGACCCCAAGCGGGACTACAGCTGGTCTTACAAGCGATACAACCCCTACAAGCTGGTCAGGCCCCCAGCTAGCTAGGCACAGCTAGCAAGCCACAGCTAGCTAGCCACAGCTAGCTAGCCACAGCTAGCTAGTCACAGCTAGCAAGCCACAGCTAGCTAGTCACAGCTGGCTAGCCACAGCTAGCTGCTACGGGCTGCTGCTGCTGCTGCTGAGGTTCGCTGCCGCTGCAGGTCTGCTGGTGCTGCTTGGAGTCTTCTGTTGCTGTTGCTGCTGCTGCTGCTTCAGCGGGTCCACTGCTGCTGCTGCTGCTGCTGCTGCTGCTTATGGCCCGCAGCCGGGCGACGGGAGCGAAGAGCCTGAGGAGGAGGGCGTGGCCCCGTACTACCGCCTGGACACCCCAGAGGCGCGGCGGTATTACTTGAAGGAAGCAGAACCCCCACCAAGAGAACCCGACGACGACATCGCACGCCAGGCCACGCTCGCCGAAGAAATGATTGCAGGTCTGCTGCTGTTGCTGCTGCTGCTGTTGCTGCTGCTGCTGCCGCTGCCGGTGCCGCTGCTGGTGCCGCTGCTGGTGTTGTTGTTGCTGCTGCTGCTGTCGCTGCAGTTGCTCCTGTTGCTGCGGTTGCTGCTGCTGCTGCTGCTGCTGCGGTTGCTGCTGCTGCTGCAAATCGGATGCGGGCTCCGGCCCCCCTGTGTTTGCTGCCAGGCATGCGCCGCAGCCCCGAGCGGGAGGAGCAGTGGCGTTTTATTCCGGAGGCCCCTTATGGGATTTTGGCTTCGCGGCAAAACTTCGCGCGGAGTTTCACAGCCAAAGACAAGGCCTGGATAGAGAAAGTCATTGAAAACCGGCGCCGCCGCGCTGCGCAGAAGCAGCAGCAGCAGCAGCAGCAG